ACAGACAGACAGACAGACAGACAGAGACTTAAATGATTAGAAGCTATGGGAATATGATCCTTGGATGCTAGGAATGGAGAAAGCTCTACACTGCAGGATGGATCAGCAGTAGCACACACCAAAGCCAAAGTCCTTGGCCACTCTGTCAAGTAGCAGGGTGTAGGTGGTAAAAGGGTAAACACATTCTTCTTATTTTGGTCCTAGAAATGGCTGAGCAGGAACAGAGATTATACGCTGACGTTGGAAAGAAGGAAATATCGCATAATCAACTGTTGCTGATCCATGTTCCTGAAAAAGCTAGGGTAATCCTAGATTGCTAGAGATTCAAAAATTATTTCTGCTGATCTATTCCTCTCAGAGATGCATTGACCGTCACTTACTATTTTGGAGGCTTTGGCAATAATTATTGAGTAGAGATTACATTATGCAAGGTCTATGTGTGGCAGAACATTATGTGGGGCCTCATTAATATGTACAATGTCTGTTTCTGTGTATCAGTTACAAATAAATAAAATAATTCTTAACAAGGCATTTACACTTTGAGTTAATTATTTCCACTTTTGCACACAGATTTGATTAGCACCAGATGCTCACTTTTTACTAACAATTATTCACCAGTCAGGTGATCTTATATAGAACTAGGAGATTCTAAATCTTTATGAGCTATAAATGATATTAAATGAATCATATTTTTGCTCAGTGAGAATCATCTGTTATAGAAAACTGACAAAATAATAAACATCCAATTTTATCCTTAATTGCACTACCTTAGTCTTATTATATAAAGACAGCTTTCCAATGTGGTTTCAGATTTAGACTCTCCTGACAGACTCTACTTGTCTGCATTTTAGCATTAGATATCCCCAATAAGGCCTCGGTATATCCGATGCAGCAAAATTCATCTGGGACTCCTTCTTACCAGGTTTCCTCTGCTTCGGTCAGTTCAGGATTGTTCTTTCCCGAGATGACTTTTTGGTCTCTTCTAAGCATGGTGCCTTATACATAGAATGTTCTAGATAAATATTTGTTGCTTAAAGTCTTAGTTCTGTACAGTGTAAGTTGTTCGTGCTGGCACTCATTTTTCACTCTGTTTGGCCTCACTACAAATCAGACCTAAGCAGCCATGTGGCACGCTGGGGCCTCCATGGGGAGTGCAGGAGAAAGGGAGGGGTCCTGGCCACTAAGGGGAACCTTAGCAGTCAGGTAGGGTGCTCCTGAGAAAGAGAAAGAGATATATCTCAATTAGAGATATATCTACTCCTGTCATATCATATAGCGTATCACACATCGTATCATACTTATCTAGAGAGAGGTGGATTTTAAGGAACTGGTTCACATGGTTGTAGGGGCTGGCATCTTCAAAAGGTAAGCAGGCTGGAAACTCAGACAGGATGAGACATTATCAGATAGAATTCCTTCTGGAAACCTCAGCTGTTGCCTGTTACGGTCTTCAGCTGATTGGAAGAGGTCCACCCACATCCTCAGGAGCACTTTCCTCTCCTTAAGGTCAACTCACTGTTGATGTTAACCACACCTACAAAGCATCTTCAGAGCATCACCTAGAGTAGCGGCTGAGCGAGCATCTCAGCAACACAACCCGGCCGAGCTGCTAGAAGCAGACAGCATTGAGTGACGGATGCCGTGGACCACGTGCCTCCAGCCACACGTTCTTGATGGGTCACGAGGTCTCCAGCAGGACTCTAGCTCCCTCACCATTAATGAGAGGAATCGAGGCCAGAGCCTAGCTGCAGCCACAGCAGGCGGCCCGGAGAAAGGCCGAGTGTCTCCATTCTTTCAGGTATTCTGCCACTGGAGAGACCTGGATGGGAGGAAGCTCAGCGATGGTGCTGGCTGGAGTCTGCCTAGGATGCACTGGCGGCTGTGATGATACTAAGGACTGTCTTGGAGTCAGCTACCCCACATCAGCTACATGTGAGACCTCAACTTCCTTATTTGTATACTGGAAATTATAATTCTGACCCCTTTTCCTCAGGGAATGGTCCCGAGGAGCGACAGGGCATGCAAAGGGCTTATGAGAGAGTTACTGGAAGATCACATATGAGGGTGGCAGGCGAGGGTCACAGAGAAAGCATAAGTTTAAACCCTGCTCTTTGACTTATGAGCACGTGGCTCTCTCCTAGAAACTGTACCTCTGCCTCTTCATTTCTAAAAGTAAGAGCAACACGCAACCTAACTCTTAGTTTCCCAAAACTGCCATAGCAAAGTCACAACTGGGTGACTTAAAATGACAGAAACTTCATCTCTGAGTTCTGGAGACTGGAAGGGCAAAGTCAAGGTGGTGGCAAGGACCAGCTGACTCTGCAGGCTCCTGGGGAGGCTTCTTCTGGTCTCCTCCAGCTTCTAGTGGTCGCTGGCAATCTTCCGTGTGTGCCTCAGCTTGCGGATGTATCACTCCAGAGTCTGCCTTTAAAATCACATCCCTTTTCCCCTATGTGTCTATGTCTGAATTTGTCTCATTTCAAAAGGACACCAGTGGTTGGGTTGGAACTCATCTATGGCCCACAGGACTTCATCTCAATTTGGTTATATTTGCAAAGACTATTTCCAAGTACAGTCACATCCATAGGTCCTTGGGGGTAAAGACTTCAATATGTATTTGGAGGGGGACACAATTCAGCCTATAACCATAATCCATAGCTCAGCGACCTTGTAGAGTTCTGGGACACAGGAACTATTGTCATAGTAAACAAGAGGACATAACAGACACATCAACAGTAGTAGAGACTATGATGACCAAATCTTTCTATTTCCCTCTGGCTTAGCTTGGGGAACTTAGTCACTCTGACGTGCCTCTTCTTCCAGATAACTGGCCATTGTTCACCAGCTGGGACGTGAGCACAATACACACTGAGGCCCAGCACAAGACAGTGCTCATCTGAGAAGCCAAGCCTGCTGCTCTGGCTTTGTAGTGCAGCCACAGCAGAATTCCCAATGCCCAAGTGGCTGCCAGCAACGGGAGCCAGGCCAGGGATGCAAAGGCAGATGATGCCCCTTTCTCTAGGACTGGGCTTTGGGACCGGCTGAGGAGAAGTTACTTCTTCAGGAGACAGACAGGATGATCTCTGGGACTAGGCAGCCTTTGGATGCCTGTATGCATGGCTGTTGAGCTGGGGACCTGAAGTAACTGGAGGGCTCAGAACTCCACATGACAGCTGTGTCCCTGGAGCCAGCTCAGATGAAAAGGTGAAAAGAAGGCTCTTTGGGTTTAATATAGTAAATTTGGTGAGATCAGGGGCCGGGGAGACAGCTCAGTGGTATAAGTGCCTGCCTGCCTAGTAAGTGCAAGGTCCTGAGTTTGATCCCCGGTACTAAAAAAATAAAATAAAAACAAACAAACTTTATTTTTTCCCACAAAACTAGGTGGAGTCAGCTACTTGGTGGTAATAGAATAATTATCCACTTTATAGATAAGATCCAGCCAGGATCACTCATCGCCTGCTTGTCTCACCAACTGGGACATTTGGGGGCTCAGGCCTGTCCTTGGCTGTCTCACTCTGATCCTCACTCTGGCCAACCTAGCCAGAGAAGTCTTTTCAGTGGGGATGCAGAAGGCCAGGTACAGGCATCATTACTTGGTCTGCTCTGTGTTCACAGGTACAAGAAATCACAAGAGGAAGGAATCTATATTTACCTCACCAGATGCGACGCATGGAGAGAACACAGTGGACCTAAGGGTTGGAGGAATCTTTGACAATGCTCAGTGACTTTAGGCCCCAGGAGGAAGCAGAGGATGACAGGTCCATCACAACACATGACACATTGGAGGCTAACCCGTCCCTCATGGACATTCCTGGTCTATGAGGCAGAAGGAATTTTTTACTGGAAAGCTCACCAGTGTGGCTTTTCTATCCCTCCTGTTTGCAAGATCCTGCAGCTGATGGGGGAAAAAATAGCCCAGAACATTTGCATTTAAGTCTTGAAATCTAAATATTTCCGTGAGTCATTCATTATTACCATATAACTCAGTGTTTGCATGCAAGTAACTTTAATGACATAAATGCTTATAAAATAAGTCTCTTACCATATGAACTCGGTAAAGAATGCTAATTCCCAGCGTCATGAATGGCTTAGAGAAATCAATCACTTTCTCGCGCTCTGCTGTAATAGTGAGGCCTGCCACAGCCAGATCTGCTTTCTGGAAGGAACAGAGAGAACCCATCATTGGAGCAGCCACATGAGGTGTGACACAGGGACTTGTCACCAGAGGCTATTCCTGTTGAGGAAATGTTACTCCAGTCTGGCTTCTCTGCTCAGGGAATGACTTGAAGTAGCCAGAGCAAAGTCCAGATCTGAAAAATAACTCTTGAAAGGACAAGATGTTAAAGCCGTGACTCATGTTCACCATGGCTACATCCCTTTAAATACATGGGTGATTTAAAACCAAGAGGGGTCACAACCTGAGTGCTCACACGCAGCCTCACACTGCCCAACAGGAGGACTCAGAAGGTGGGAACTTGGTGACAGGCTGCTGAGTTGTCTGCACTGAGCGCTTTTGATTCAACTTATTCATGTGTTCAGTCAACACAGCTTCAATGAGTGCTTGCAGAAGCGAGGCCCTTCAGCACGGTGGCGGTAGGGATGACAATGAAAAGTAAAAACGCTGGAGCCACAGGCATTAGAAACAATCTGATGCAACTCCATTCACTGCACAGAGTGGAAATGAAGACAAAGAGATTGAGCAAGTGGCCAAATGTGACACAGCCTGTCCTCGCAGGAGCAGGGGCTTTGATCACTGGCCTCTTATGTTGCCGTCCAGGTGAAATTCAAGCATCCCATGCAGAACCAAAAGAAGGAGCTCATACATCTTGAACTCCAAATAACCAGAAATTATTGTGCAGAGCTTTCTGTCTTTTCTCTCCGCTCCTAATTACACTCTAAGTACCCACTTGTGCTAAGAGACTAGCCTGGATTGGGGCCCTCCAGGTAAGGAGATAGATGCTAAGGCTTCCTCACTACGCTTCTCTGTTAGGAAGTTCTCTGTATCCCATTTAAGCCCATTCTGCTGAAAGCAAGCCTGCCTCCTAATCTCTGCTCTCTGATACCTAGGGCTGCGGGAAAGCTTGCAGCTAATGCTGGGCTCCCGTCTAGGCTCTGCTCTAACCAAGCAGGCCTCTGAGTCTGGTCACCTTGCCCCTCTAGTCTTCTTTAGCCTCATCTACAAACCATGTGACCATGATTCTCAAAATACAGTCTCTGGACCATCTGCATCAGAACTGCCTGCAGGACCAATGATGCTGAACTAACTCCTGAGGCTCATCAAGGTCCCTGATCGGAAGCTGTAACAGGAGGACAGAGGGCTTTGCACCATATTTGTAACGAGTGGCGTAGGTGATTCTAAATTACACAAATACCTAAGAACCATGTTTATAACATAGGCACTATGGTTTAGACTAGCCGCTGAGATTTATATTTCAGCTTGGGTAAGTCTTTCTTCTAAAGACCTCAGATCAGTTGATGCAGAAGATGTACAAAGAAGAAAAGAAAAGTGGAGTGTCCAACAATCTACAAGCAATCTCATCAGTTCTGAAAGAGGCTATGCACACATACACATGCACATGCACACACACGGTTCTTACTAAACCACAGCAAAGGCAAAGAAATAGAAGGGGATTATGGCTTAGGCAATGGAAGCATAACCCAGTGGCTGATGCCATTTCCTCTGTGTCTCAGTATCAACCCAGCATTCTCCAGCCACATCCCCAAGCAGTCACATGACCCAACCAAGTTAGCACACTTAAGACTCTCTTAAAGTAAAGCCATCCTTAAAAGGAACTAGAATGTGGCTAAAAGAGATTTTCAATAAAAAAAAATGGAAAAGATGATTGGCTCATTCTGCATTTCTTTAAGAGAGTGTTGATTGCCGCTATCAAGTGAATCAATCCCTAGGTTGGAGAGTGGGGTTTGATTAGAAGGTTGTTAGTAACTTCATTTTGAGGGACTCTTTAAAGGACTGCCTGAGGCTTTCAGAGCCTCACCCTTCCGTGACAGTGACACTGACTTGAATTCAGCTTGCAAGCACTCCTGCAAAGCAACAGAAGCCACTCAGAAAGGCCCAGCAAAGCAGGGCCTCTGCCGACACAGAGGTCTGCTAAAAGCTCACAGCCTAGCAGAGGTCTGCTAAAAGCTCACAGCCTAGCCCTGTCTGAAACCCAAGGAGGAAGAAACAAGTTAAGGAGTTAAAAGAGTTCAGGTGAAGGAAATGAAGGGCACATTAAGAAAACTGAAAATGAAAAAACAGGCAAGAGGTAAGCACAACATCCAATCTTTTCTCTGATTATTTTTTTTAAGTACAAATCAAGTAGTCAAAGTAAACACTGTCTTCTAATTTCTTTTCCTCACACTCAGCTTCTCCCTAAAAAGGGCAAACTTTGGATTACAATTTGGAAATCATTTCACAAGTTTATAGAAGTTGGCCAACAATGACATTATGCCAAAACAATTCCATATGTCCATATGGAGAGAAAGCTGGAAATGAACTACGTCCTACAACTAGGAATCTTTCCTACATTCATGCAGAATAACTGCATGCTCAGGAGCGGGGTGCCCTGGGCTCAGACAGGGTGCAACCGTCTAGTCACAGACAGACACCTCCCTGAACTGGGCCACACAGAAAAACCATTGCATTTCCAAAAGCTGTCCCTGAACCAGCAGCCCTGATCTCTGTCCTTTTTACTTAGCCTAGTGTAAGCTGCCAGGGAGAAAAGGGATAGGGAAGGAGATGGAAAGGGCAGCAGGAAGCTACAAGAAACCAGGGCAGCTTGGCAATGGTTGTTTTTTATATTTAATTGACTCAGCAGAGAAGAGTAATTATCTACCTTGACTTCAGTGCACCCCAGGGTGCCTGCAACCACCACATGGGATGAGATTATTCCAAAAAGACGTGTGTTCATTTTCTTTTGCCTTAGTTAAAAAGACATTGGGCTATAAAACAGCCTTCGGATGAGGAGATAATGTGCCATGAAACCAAACGTAAAGGAAAGGGGGCTGGGACAGCAAAGATGCCAAGAACGGTTGGTGTGGGAGGCTGCAGGGAGCCCAGGAAGCACACTGCAGGGAGCCTGGGCAGGACAGCAGCCTGTGCAGGGCCTTCTGCCCCTCTGGTCACTGGTGGCTTCCAGTAGGAAGAGAAGTGGGAAGCACAGCAGAAGACCTGTCTTGTCACAGCGGGCCCCTGATAGCACTGTCACCTTGGGCAAATTATTCCTCTCTCTGGAAGTCTCCCCAGCTATACAGTGGCAGGGTTTAGCTAGCGACCTCTGTCCTAGCTGTAAGCCCTATTCGTGCCTCTGTCCAGCTGGATGAGGCATGGTTCGGTTTGACTGGCCCTTCTCCTCCTCCGCTTGAGAAGATGGTGGAAGTCAGCAGAATCAACTAGTGGTGCAAAACTGATAGGAACAGGCCAGAAGGAGGAAACTGGGGACGGACCCATCAGCAACTGCCAGGGATGTCCTGTTTTAGGGAAGGAAACCTGCAAAGCCCAGGAATCTGCAAACCATCCTGGGAGCTCAAGCCTGGACCCTGAAGCTGGGCTGGAAAAGCAGAAGGGATGAGGCGCCCTGGAGCCTGAGGGCTAGGAGGGGAGGTGGGAGGCAGGGCTCTGGCCTGGGCAGTGCCAAGAGCAGCGCACATGTCTGAGGGTGCTCCTAGCAGTGTCTCCGGTGTGTGCAGATGACCTGGCAGAGAGGTCTCCCTCCCCATTCTTGAAGGAAAGTGCTCTTTGAAGAGCTCTGTGTGCTGCCTCAGAGCGATCCCTGCTTTTATCTCCTGGGTGTTTGTGGGATTTACAAGGGAGGACAGGCGAGAGCCAGCCTGGAGGTGACTTCCAAAGCACACTCCCCTCTGCTTCATGGAGTTTTAAGAGGGTCGCGCAAATGCCACCACAGCTATCAAAGCCTGAGGCCACCGTGCTTCTCATGGGAACGGAGCCTGGCGGTGAAGAGGACTGCATCTGTGCCCAGGGCTCTGGTCTGCACCGCCTGAGCCCGCTGCTCCCACAGCCTCCAGAGAACAACACCCAGAGCCTGAGGGCAGCAGCTGATCCAGGGCGGCCTACAGTGGATGAGCCCTCGGGATGCCTTGGCTTCCTTTCTTGACAACTGCTGCCCCCTTTTGGGCAAAATCCTCTCCCTGAGCTCAGCAGGGGCCCAGACCTCTGCTCCTCCACCTTTTTTCTTTGCCCATGTCTTCCCTTGGTCATGGCTGGGCTAAGAGGAGCAGAGGGACTCACGGGGCTGCCTCTACCTCCCTCTACCCATGTGTCACGGATAAGTCATCTTGCTTCTCTGTGACTCAACCTTCTCAGCCACACAATGGGACAAGGTCCGCCTATCCACATGATGTAGGAGTCAAGAGAAAGGATGCACATGGGGGAACCTAAAAGTTGTATAAACTGTTCAGTGCTGCATAACAATGGTAGCTGAGGTTTAGCCTTCAGCGTGGGGCAGACCTGTTTAGACTTTGTCACTTCCTTGCTACGTGACCTTGGACAAGTCATTTCTCCTCTCAGCTTTAGTTTGCTCATCTATGAAGTGGGAATAGTACTCATACTTGCCTCCTGGGATTAGAGAAGATGGGTGTGACAACACCTCTAAGTGCTGTGCATGGGCCTGGTCCCATGAGCACAGGCACTTGCTGTGGAGTATGGATGGTGGCCACATGGTGTGATGAACTTGACGCTGGTGAGCATCTCAGCAAGGGGCTCTGGGGACAGATCCTGGCCATGATGAGGGCAGGTGTGTGGAGGTGGCAGGCCTGCTCTAGGGATGCACAGGGCTGGCCATGTCCAGTGGCCCTGGGCCCTGAGTATCTTTCCTAGTGACCTCAGCAGGCACCGCTGTGTCTCCCTGTGTGCCTGGCTGTCTCTGCAGCCCACACAGGTACTCTCCCGCTGGCCCATCCATTGGGAAGCTCTGGGTGAGAGCCGGTGGGCAGCTCCTCCTTGCTGTGACCCTGCTCTGGGAGCATGCACTAAGTGACCTGTGCAGCTTTCTGAATCCACAGTCCTTTCTCTGATCAGCCTCTAGATCTTCCTTCCCTGGAAGGGAAGGCCCCTCCCCAAGCCCAGTTTCAGCTCCAGGCTGCAGCTCTGCCTTCACAAGCCTGCCTCCACCCACCCTGGCCCTCCCACTGCTCAGG